TCAAACTAAGGATCAAGATCTTCTTTCTCATCTGTTGAGGAGCCTGGCCAATGTAGCTGGTTCAACTAATGGAAGAAACATATCTGGATTACTTCAAGGTTCTCAAGTTGTAGTTAATGCTGGGAGGTCTGTTGGGAATCTTGAAAAGGTGATTGATTTGGCTTCTAATGGTGCTGAACTTGCTAGGCCTTCTGCATCAGCCTCTAAAATAGATGACTGTGCTAATATCCCCAATAGGCAGATGCCTATGGGTCATTGTGGGACTCTACCTGCTTCTGATTTGGCACAGAGAAGAGCTAACAACGATGTTCAGGATGGAAGTCTGTTCGGTTCACCATCCAAAATACCCATTCCATCAGAAGCCAGCTTTCCATTCAGAGCAAATGAACCAGAGGCTACAGTTGGGAGGATCAAAATGAATAACATAGACTTGAATAATGTTTATGATGATTCACAAGACTATGTAGAAAACTTGGAAAGATCTCTGGTCCCTAAAAACCCTGTAAATGGGTCTTTGCATAGCTCTCTGTGTGTGTCAGAATCACACAAGTCAAGTACACCTCAAGGTCCACAACTGAGTGGGAACTCAGATTCAACTTCTAGCCAGTCACCATCAACTTCCAGCCAGTCACCATCAACTTCCAGCATTGAGGCTCAGGTGCGATATCATCTCATTTCTTTTTGATGGAATCAACTTTCCTTGTGTTTTAAAGTGCTTTATGGCCTTTTGATTATATTTTAGGATAGAGAGATAATGATTGCTTGCTGACTGATTACCATCTAGAATATGTTATTATCACTATGCTCAATTCAATATTGTTGAATCATAAAAATATTTACCGTTAACAAAAGGCTTGTAAGTTATATTTTCCATTTTTTGCATCTGTCTCTCTAAGCGTATAGTGCATAGAGATAGATGCTAGAACACAAGCAACCAACAAATATGCACGAGTCATCCAACTGTGTTTCATTTGTTTTTCAGTTTTGATGCAATTATTTTTATAATTAATCTGGAAAGGCTGTTGACTATCTCATTCTCTATTTTCTAATAGTTTGTTCTATGATTTCTGTGTTGTCAAGTATGGGGTTGACATTTTGCTATGATTGAGAGAACTTAATGCAGTCAAAGCACAACTATTTGAAGTTTTTTTAAGATGTTAAAGGATTTTCTGACTTGACCACTATTTTCTTACTATTGTTCAGAGTCGCACTGATCGAATCATATTTAAGCTCTTTGGAAAGGACCCAAAGGATTTTCCTATTGCTCTACGTGGACAGGTAATTTGAAGAATTGTTTAGGTTCAAAATCTATTTGATAATCTTCATGGAGTTGGTTTCATTCTGTGGAAGTCATTGAACTTTCAGGTCCTTGACTGGCTATCCCACAGTCCTACAGACATTGAAAGCTACATAAGACCTGGCTGTATAATATTAACAATATATCTTCGTTTACGAGAGTCTGCATGGGAAGAGGTATGCTTTGTCACAGTTGGTAAATGGGAACTGCATCTATTATTAAGGAAAAGACTTACTGATCCGCTTACTAACTGTTTTACATACAGCTATGCTGTGATCTGGGTTCCAGTTTGAGAAGGCTAGTTGATGTGTCCGATGACTCTTTCTGGAAAACAGGATGGGTGTATGCTAGGGTTCAGCACTCTGTTGCCTTTATTTATAATGGTTCTGCTCTTTCTCTCTCTGCTTATATGTTTGTATGTATCTGTGTCTATATGTGTGAACTTGAAAGAGTTTCTTAGTCACAGTTTCTCCTGTTTATTTAATTTCCCAAAAATATAGTATTTGTAGTGACATTGTCAAAAAGAAGAGCCTGTGTTTTCTCCCATCTGTGCTGCAGGTAGGGTCGTATTGGATACCCCTTTACCTCTGAAAAGCCACAAAAACTGCAGGATCTCAAGCATTAAACCAATTGCTGTATCTGTAACAGAGAGAGCTCAATTTTTAGTTAAAGGCTTTAACCTTAATCGGTCCAGTACTAGGTATTGCTTCGTTCTCTTTGCATCCAGCTATGCCTTTCCTTTTCATCTTTTTTACTTTGTGAAATAGGATGTGAAGGATCTCAGATTTAATAAAATCTACTATTCAAATAATTCTTTTACACTATTAGTTTGACTGAACAAGTACTAAATCCAACTACCTCTGGTTTAGGTTACTCTGTTCGATCGAAGGAAAATATCTGGTACAAGAAACTTGTTACAACTTGATGGAGGTTGTTGATCCCGTCAATGAACATGATGAACTCCAGTACCTTTGCTTCCCTTGCTCAATACCAAATGTTTCTGGGAGAGGATTTATTGAGGTGCTGTCGTTGTTTTGTGTTTTCTGATCATGTTCTTTTGTCTTTTTCATAGTAAAATTTGGTTAGATATGGTAAATTACTGAAGTATCTAAGATGAAGGTTGTTTAAGATTACAAACTGATAGATCTCAAGTTAAAAAATGGCTAGCTTTTATAATGCAGTTACGGATGTGTTGAGTGTGGTGGTTTGGGAGAGTGGGGGGTGGGGATTGGAGATGACAGGAAAGAAGAAGGAAAATTGAAGGCTTTTACAGGGTTAGTTCTTAATTTTCCATCCCATTAAATAAAGGTGGTTATCCTTAATTATTCCTATAATTAAGATCTATGGAGCCTTAATGTATTACTTTGTGAAATATTGTTACTTGATATGCCTACCTTCTTGATCAAATACTATCATATGCTTTAAAACCAGGCAATCAAGTCAATGACTTGGTAATGATCATCGGAAAGACATGCACTAAGTGCGAGTTGAGTCCCAATCTTGGATATTGAAAAGAAAAGAAAAACACAATGAGGAGATAATTGCCACAATTGTTTGTTTCATGTGTGGATGGAGCATTTTTCCCCTTCCACTCTAATTCAAGGATTTTGGTTATCTGATTCTATCAGGTTGAAGACCATGGACTCAGCAGCACCTTTTTTCCTTTTATAGTTGCAGAGCAAGAAGTGTGTTCTGAGATCTGTACTCTGGAGGGTGTGATAGAAACAGCGTTACCTACTGTTGACATTAACAAAAATGCGGAGAAAATGGAAACCAAGAAGCAAGCACTGGACTTTATACATGAAATGGGATGGCTTCTTCATAGAAATCAGTTAAATAGGAGGCTGGGTCACTTGAACCCCAATTCGAATCTCTTTCCTTTCAGGCGGTTCAAGTGGCTTACGGAATTCTCCATGGACCATGACTGGTGTGCTGTTGTGAAGAAACTTCTGGGCATTCTCTTTGATGGAACAGTTGATTTGGGGGACCATAGTTCTATTGAGTTTGCTTTTTGGATATGTGTCTGCTTCACAGAGCCGTCCGAAGAAACTGCAGGCCCATGGTAGAATTACTATTAAGATATGTCCCAGATAAAGTATTGGATAAGTCTGGATCTGAGCAGAAGCCACAGAAGGATGGAAACAACTATGGATTCATGTTTAAGCCAAATGTTGCTGGGCCTGCTGGGTTGACTCCTCTTCACGTGGCAGCTAGTAGGGAAGGCTCTGAGAATGTTATAGATGCATTAACTGATGATCCTGGATCGGTATCTCCTTATGTCTCTCTGTGTATTGTCATGATAATTAACTATATTTTAGTAATTGGGAACCATGTTATTGAGTTTAATTCATGATCCCTGTGTGCCCCTCTGCATTCTCTTTCTAGCTCACTGATTTATGATCTTACTTAACTCCTAGATGGCTCACTTTTACTGAGCCTGAACTGCTCAAATGCTGATTGATATATATCTCTCTCACAAAAGCACTTCTTTGAATTTTCTAACAAAATAGTTTTTAATTTTTGTCGGGGAATAATTCAGCAATTTCATGCATTCTGGTATAAAATTGTCTTAATCACTCACTTTGGGCTCCTCTTCTGCTGCTGATCCGGTTATGTGCATTGTCCAGGTGGCAATTGAAGCCTGGAAAAGTGCTCGGGATAGCACAGGTCTGACACCTAATGATTATGCATGCCTTCGAGGTAACTACTCCTACATCCACCTAGTTCAGAGAAAAATTAACAAAAAATCAGAATGTGGACATGTGGTGCTGGATATCCCTGGAACCCTGTTAGACTGCAATTCCAAGCAGAAAGTATCGGATGGTAGCAGATTGGCAAAAGCAGCAAGTCTGGAGATGGAAAAGATTAAGATGAAAGCAAGGCACGAGTGTTGCAAGGCATGTGAACAGAAGCTGGCTTATGGAAACAGCAGAACATCCCTAGTATATAGGCCATCAATGCTTTCCATGGTCGCAATTGCTGCTGTCTGTGTATGTGTGGCTCTGCTCTTCAAAAGCTCCCCTGAAGTTGTTTATGTATTCCAACCATTCAGGTGGGAACTGCTAAAATATGGGTCTAGCTAAGGTAGTTATGATGTCAGTTTCCAGCTACAGGCTGGAAAACTTTGGTAATCTTTTCTTCTATTCTCAGAAGTAGAAGACCGCTGAATTGTATGGATATAGCTAACTGGAAAAAACGCCATATATGAGCTTATGATAGTTCACTTCGATTATAGATATATAGAAAAAGCTAAATTATGTAGTTATATGGATCGAGTAATCACCAGTATTCGAGTTGCTATTTCTTGGACTAAGTTTTTTGTTTTCTTTTTCTTGTCCAGAAAGAAGCAAATATGATAAAATCAAGTTCACACGTCACAATTGTAAATGTGCAATTTTGTTAATGCCACAAAAACAATGAAATACTAATAGAAACAGCATGAAGAATAGACATAAATTAAAGTAATTTTATCTTTTCTTGTTTAAAAAGAACCACTTTCAAATGATTTGTGCATATTTTTTCTCATGGAAGGTTTTCCTCTCTTCAAATAAATTCAAAATTTCCTTCCTAAAAAGAAACCAAAATACTAGCTACTCTTATGCTTTAAAAAAACAAAAAAAACTAAAAAACTACTCTTATTATCCTATTACAGAAAAAAAAAAAAAAATCCCTTAACAAAAGGGGATCAGATATTTTGGTGAACTCGGCTCAAACTCGACAGTTGCTATCTCTACAAAGTCCAATGTCCACAAGCCCAAAAGCAAAGCGAAGATCGAGTTCACTGGCAGTTGCATCCTATTCCTAGGCTTTGCTGCTGCAGCAAAATATCAGTCATCCCAAATGTCCCTTTCCTTTTCTTCTCTGCTTTCCTCTCCTCCCCCACGCTTAGAGAAGAAGTGCAAGCCCCATCCTCCATACTCAATCCTTCGTCCACTTGCTGTTAATGCTGTCTGTGATACGAAGAGGCAGAGGCACTGGAAGGTAGGAGAGTACCCTGGCCTATCACATAGTCTTATTCCTGGCTCTTCCAAGAAAGCCCCCCTCAAGAATCTCAAGAAGAAACTCGACCGCAAGAACAACGCCAAGGCCTGGGTCTGCACCGTCACCGAAACCCTGTCTGATTGCATCCTTAAGAAGCAGTGGCTTCAAGCTCTCCAGGTCACTCTCTTCTCTTCTTTTTATTCTTCCTCATTTTCCACTTCCGGGTCTACCAAATTCTTGCACAACAATGTCTTAACAAAACTTTATAATTCATTCTTATTACTTTACAGATGCTAAATTGTTGGCCTTGCTTACCAACGTCAAGGTCCTTTCTAACATTTGAAAAAATGTAGACTTTTGTTGATAAAAACAGTTCCTTTTAGCAGTTTGTAGGATTCTTTCGCGCGAAAATTAACTAGTGGGTATGCTTGTTTTCTTCTTCTATGAGTGTGACCGTGGCCAATTTGAATATTCAGGTATTTGAGATGCTAAGAGATCAACCTTTTTATCAACCAAAAGAAGGCACCTATATGAAACTACTTGTTCTTCTTGGAAAATCTGGACAACCCCACCATGCCGCTCAGCTTTTTCACGAAATGGTTGAAGAAGGATGTGAACCTACTTCCGAGCTTTACACAGCATTACTCGCAGCTTATTGTCGAAACAACCTCATTGACGATGCTTTCTCAACTCTTAATCAAATGAAAACCCTTCCTTGTTGCCAGCCTGATGTTTTCACCTACAGTACCTTAATTAAGGCTTGTGTGGATGCCTCGCGATTTGACTTAGTTGAGTCACTGTATGGGGAAATGGATGAGCGGTTGATAACTCCAAATACAGTTACACAGAACATAGTGTTAAGTGGATATGGTAAGGCAGGGAAATTTGACCAGATGGAGGAAGTGCTATCTGGCATGTTGGAGAGCTCAGCAAGCAAACCTGATGTATGGACAATGAACATCATTCTAAGTGTGTTTGGTAGCAAAGGTCTGATTGATATGATGGAGAGATGGTATGAGAAATTCCGTAATTTTGGAATTGAGCCAGAAACGCGCACTTTCAATATCTTGATTGGTGCTTATGGGAAGAAAAGAATGTATGATAAAATGTCATCTGTGATGGAATACATGCGTAAGCTTCAATTTCCATGGACAACCTCTACTTACAACAATGTCATTGAGGCATTTGCTGATGTGGGGGATGCAAAACACATGGAATACACATTTGATCAAATGCGTGCCGAAGGGATGAAAGCAGACACCAAGACATTTTGCTGCCTTATCAATGGATATGCCATTGCTGGTCTCTTTCATAAAGTTATTAGCAGTGTTCAGTTGGCTGCCAAGTTTGAGATACCAGAAAATACCTCATTTTACAATTCTGTTATATCTGCATGTGCAAAGGCAGAGGATTTGATGGAGATGGAGAGAGTTTTTAAACGAATGAAAGAAAAGCAATGCCAACCAAATGAGATAACCTTCTCCATCATGGTGGAGGCATATAAAAGGGAAGGCATGAATGACAAGATGTATGATTTGGAGCAACTAAAACAAGAGTTGCTTCATAATGGTTCTCTATCTGATTAGACCACTTTAATGAAAGCGATAACAGTGCTTCTGCTTCCGCTGTATTTCTCCCATGATCTCGTTAGAGAAGCATAACTGTTTGTTTTTAATGTGACTGCGATCTTCGTGAATTGAGTCACTGATTTATCAGCCGCAGCATTTGCTTTCTAGAACGGATGGCTGGTTACTGCTTTTCCTCTTAGATTTTGTGTGACTGAAATCTTTTGGGGTTCATTGATGTTTTGATGGAATATGTACAAGGTCATCGTAATTAGAGGTAACTATTGACTGTGGGGGTAGTTCAGTTCTTCAAAATGCCAGTGTTGACTTTTGTGAAATCTCAAAGATGTAATTTTTTTTTTTTTGTCTTTCTGTTTAACTGTCATGTGGTGCCTGAAGAGGTTGTTTTACACAAGTATACAAAGATGATTACTTGCATCCTTCTCATACAGAAGACCAAAAACAATTCTGTGTATGAGTTTGAGGAAGCTATTGTGTTCAGTTTGCCAGTTCGTCCAAATATCTATCGAAATTTACAGATTCTTAGATGTTTTGTAACTTGTTAAAATAGTATATTATGATAATATCTCCATGACAGACAGACAGAGTTGAAGCTGCCAGCCGCTCGTTGGGTATCCTTATGGTCTCTTCTCTCAATACCGTGTTAATGATTTTTGGTTGACAGCCTAATACATCTACGGCACAATCTGAATCATGTGCTTCTTAGTTCAATTAATCCGTCTCTGGATTTTGTAGCCGATGACTGCTTGTGCAGCTGTCCTGTATACGGCAGTGCAATGCAGATGGATATGTTTTTAAGTTTTAGGTCACTTGTACAAAAAGGCTTGACAGTAGCACAACAAAAGAGGCCACGGCCACGGCCACTGCCTCAATTTTGTTTTTGAATTTTGATTGCATGATGTATATGCATTCTTCATATTTTCCTCTGTTTATTTATTTATTTTTCCCTAATAAACATAATCTTAAATAAAAATAATAAATAAAGATAAAATTAAAGTACATAACTAAACCTTGTAGGTATAGTTTTGTATATAACAAAAGTGAAGGATTTTCAAAAAAGCGTTGCCCATAGCCATGGCCGCCCCTGGCTCCTTGTTCCCTCCAATATTTTACGCATTTTAAACTTTTTCACTTTAAAAAAGTAGTAACGTGCAAGGAATGAAATATATAATTAATAATAATAAAATAATAATAATAATGGACGACGGTACATAAATTCTAACTAATTAGTATTAATATTATATTTACCACTATGTTTGTTTAGCAGTCAGTTTCTTGTTTTGATATACACAGCCTAAATGCTCTACTCAATTTTATGGAGTTGTAATAAATTGAAATTTTTTTTTTTTGACGAAAAATTGATTGTGAAATGCACACGTTGTAATTTAACATAAAAAATTTAATATCATGCAAATCTTTTATTATTATTATTATTAATTTAACTAATCAGTATCAATTTTTTAGTTATGTAATATGGCACAAAGTTACATATACACTTTTGAAAAATAATCATGTGATTAATTAATATAATTAGAATTAATTTAATATCATTAATCATGTTAATTTAATTTTACTATTATAACGCTACATTTCTTTCTCTTCTGAAAAAAAAAATTTCTCTCTTCAATCAAAAATCCATTTTTCTTCCTACTTAGCCGAATTTTTATCTTTTTTGTCATTATTTCTCTCTTCCATAAAAATATTCAATTTTCTCTCTTTATCAAGAACTCAGTATTTGTCAGTTTTTATTAGTTTGGTACACTTGCTAATTCTTATTTTCTTACCATTTGCTATAAAATTGTGGATTTTAATTTTGATAATGGTTTTAATTTGAGTAATTTTTTTCATTTTTCCATTTTGTTTTAAATTAATTTTTTCCTTTCTTAAAAGCCGGTTTTCCATTTTCAAAATATGATAAAAAGTATATTGGACATCAACGAAAGCGGCTTCTCTCATACCAGTACAACTAACTCGATTTCGGCTATCAATAATATCGTAAATGGCCAGTGAACCTGTTACTCGCGTAGTTGCTAACCCTTGAATCGGCTGTGTCCGGTCATTAAGGCAACTAGCGATTAGCAGACAAGACGGCTCTGGTTGAACAATAACTTGTGGGGGTCTGATATAGACTTGGGGCATCTAAAATACTTGTTTTATTATTCGTTAAGTGCTATTAGAGAAGGGGTGATGATCTCTCTAGAAAACTTAACAGTTGTCTTAGTATCTTATGTGTTTCAGTTTACGTTAATCGATAAGATATTATTCGCTTTAATTTTGTTAAATTTCATAGTTTTGTAAAGTATTATTCACTTTGATCTCGTAAGGTCTCATAATTTTATTAAATTTTATAGTTTTATCTTATTAAAGAAATCTAAAAATATTTTAAAAATTTATATCCCAAAACTAACTTTAATATACAATCGACATAAAATTCATGGCTCCCATTAAGAGCATGACATCCTTCTTACTCTAACGAAAATCTCCACAATGATCATAATATCTTCCTCACTTCAACGAAGGTTTACTTATATCTCAAGACTAACTCTAACAAAAGCCCCCAATTAAGATCGTGACATCCTCTTCACTCCAATAAAAACAAGACCATGACATTCTCTTTTCCAAGATCAACTTTAGTACGAAGGCCCCCATTAAGACCATGACTTTCTCCTTACTCCAACGAAAGCAGGATTATGACATTCTTTTCGCTTTAATGAAGACTTATTTATATCCCAAAATCAAATTTAGTATACAACTAACAAAGGCTCTCACTAGGACCATGATGTCCTCCTCACTCCAATGAAGGCAAGACTATGACATCGTCCTTACTCCAATGAAAGCAAAACTATGACATTCTCCTCACTTCAATGAAGACTTATTTATATCTCAATATCAAATTTAGTACACAACCAACAAAGGCTACCACTAGGATTATGATATCCTTCTCACTCCAATAAAGGTAGGACCATAACATCCTCCTTACTTCAACGAAGATTGACTTATATTGAAGACCAACTCTAGTACACAATTGATGAGGCCTCGACTAAAATCATGACATCCTCTTCACTCCAATGAAGGCAGGATCATAATGTCCTCCTTTTTAAAACCAACTTTAGTACACAACCAACAAAGGCCTCCCACTAGGACCATGACATCTTCTTCATTTCAATAGAGCCTACTTATATCCCAAGACCAATACATCCCCCTCATTTCAACAAAGGGCTACTTATATCCCAAGACCAACTCTAGTACACAATCAACGTGTGATTCCAAAAGCCCCCACTAGGACCATGCTATCCTCCTCACTTCAACGGAGCCTATTTATATCCCAAGACCAACACATCCTCCTCATTTCAACAAAGGGCTACTTATATCTCAAAATCAACTCTAGTACACAATCGACATGTGACTCATGGCTCCCACAACAAGCATGAGATCCTCCTCATCTTCCTCACTTCAACAAAAGCTTACTTATATCTGAAGTCTAACTTTAGTATAGAACCAACATGGGATTCATGGCTCCCATTAAGAGCATGACATCCTTCTCACTTCCCACTAGGATCATGACATCTTCCTCACTCCTATTATATCCCAAGACCAACTTTAGTATACAATCGACATGGGATTATGACTTTTACAAAGAGCATGACATCCTTCTCACTCCCCGCTAGGACTATGACATCTTTCTCACTTCAACGATGACCCACCGTCCCTAGCAGCATATTGTTAGTACCCTAAGAGCCAACTTTAATACTAAATGTCATGCTAATACCTTGAAAGCTAGCTCTGATACTAAATGTCATGGTTTACAACAACTTGCGAGGTATTATCCACTTTAATCTCGTTAAGCCTTACGGTTTTATCTCGTGTATCACAAATTGAAGGTGATGTGAATACTCATATCTCAAGATAAATTTTAATACACAATCGATATAAGATTCATGGCTCCTTATTAAGACTATCACATTATGCTTGATCGATGCTGGCTTCATACCGAAGACAAAAGGACATACTAGCATTTATCCAAAAAAATTATTATAACTGAAAAACAAATGTTTGATTATGGTTTAATTCAAAAAAAAATTTATTCCTGATTTGTTCAATGCGTTAAGTCATGATCTAATCCAAATCAAAAGTCATTTAAGCAATACCCCAAAGATTTAATCTTTAATGGAGCATTTAGACATACATGCCCTGCATAGTATACCCGCCAAATCTTGTCCCTGCAAACGTCGATGAAAGGGATTGATATTGGTGGCAAATCACCCCCCTCTATTACAATTCGAAAGAAAAGAAAAAAAAAAGAATAGCCATTTTGTTGTGATATTAAAAAGGAAAAATGGAATGAACACCGTAGAGAGCAAAACAAGGGATGTGAGCTAGGAACACACTCACAAACTTCATTTTATTATTCTATAATTTATTCAAAAATATTAGATGTAGCGGTTAAGATATGTCTCCTTATTAAAGGAGTTTCACGTGGTTTTTGATTAAATTTAACTGACACTATTAATAGTACATTTCAATATTTCAAAAAGTGGGCAATTTTGTAGACAAATTTCAAAAATTATTATCCTGAAACAATTTTAAACCTTTAAATTTTAAAACATTACATGACCGTCCAGGTCGGCATTTCACTCACTACAATCATGCAAAGAATTACGTGTTTATCACTTATTTTTGAGGATGGAGACAGACAGACCGACAGACAAACCTTAAAGAATTTTAAATTGTAGTGATGTTATAGCAAGGCGCATTGCTTCACCTCATTTGGAGGGTTCTGTTCTGGCTCTGACAGTAACAGATTAGCTTCCTTCTAAACGTATCCACATCTCTCTGCCCATATAACACTCTGTAATTTTGGAACTCTCTACGATGGCCCAACTGGTGGGTTCGAGTTCAGATGAGACAGAATCTATGAGAATTGAGTTAGCAGATGAGACAGGAAGGAGCTTGAGCATAGGGTCCTCATTCAGAAATCAGGTGTCGAGTTTACGTAGTTTGACTGCTGCACATCATTCTGAAGGTGATGATGTTGACGAATATGAGTTGCAATGGGCCGCAGTTCAGAGACTACCAACCTTTGAACGGATTACTACTGCTTTGTTTGATGACAACAGTGAAGACGGAAAGGCAGACACCGGGAATATTGTCAGAGGGAAACGTGCTATCGATGTCACCAAACTTGGAGCACATGAGCGGCATCTGTTCATAGAGAAGCTCATAAAACACATTGAAAATGATAACCTGCGTTTGTTGCAAAAACTTAGAGACAGAATTCACAGGTCCGTCCCTGCTCTCTCCCACTTTCATGTATAGCTCTATCTACCTTAGTTGAAAGCATCTCCCCGATGGCATTGATGATGAATTCGCTACTTCTGATTCATGATTGAGGTATAAAAATCTGCAGGGCAGGAGTACAGTTGCCCACTGTGGAAGTGAGGTATAAAAATCTGTGTGTTCAAGCAGAGTGCAAGTTGGTCCATGGCAAACCTCTTCCCACTCTCTGGAATGCCACTATAGGCATG